CTGCAAAACTGGAATTTAATTGTGCTGCAGAAGTCCTGTGATGAAGATGTTGTCTTGGTTTCAGGCTATTGCAAAGAGCAAGTTGATATTCTGGCCAGATATAAGGGGCATCTTTCCTTGTCTGTCAGACACTTGGATCTTCTCCCCACTGCTTTGTGCTTACGGAGTTCTTAGAGCAGGAATAGCAGAGGGTAGATGTTGTCATCACATGACTGTGTCTTCAGAGCTCAGCTCTGCTATTGGTTGGATATAGTCTTGGGCAGGCTACTCTTGCTTTGTGACTTTACTCTCAGCCTCAGTCTTCCCTTCTGTAAAATGGAGATGATAAAGAAGGTCTCCCTAACAAATAGGCATTGGATGTTAGCTCTGTGCTGGACTCTGAGCCAGGCTGCCCAGTGAAATGCTGGGCAAGGCAGGGTCTCACAGTCTCAGGAAGCCTAACAGTTTTCTTCTCCAAAGTCTCACATATAATGAGCTGCCTAAAAGGTATCTGTGCTCTTCCATTTGCTATAGACCATGTCCTCAATGGTTCCTGTGGAATATCATTGCACAGAGAGATAAAAAGGCAGTTTCAAGAGGAAAAAAGGCCATTTGCCCTGAAAACAAATGCAAAAGTTGGTATACAGTACTTTTAAATTTCAGGGACATTTTTCAAAGCTTGTGGAAGTACTACACAGGCCGGGTAACAGGCTAGTTTTTTACATGCCACCTGCTTAGCAGTTCTCTGGTAGCCATACTGTTGGGCTAACTTGAAAAGACAGACATTTGTGATTTTTGACTGGCATCTGGTTTTCCATTTGATTTAATAAATCTAGGCTCATTCAGCTTGAGAAAATTCTGGAAAAGACACTGGGCTGTGACGTCAGGCACCACGGACAGAGATAGTTGCTAAAGGAAGATCTGCTAGTTATCCTTGGGGACTTATGTGCTCCTAGGCTCTAGTAAGCCCTCCTCTGGGCCTTGCAAATTTAGAAATGGGCCAGTATTAACTAACACCTGGCCAGCATGCTTACCTAGAGGCAGTGACTGCCCAGGGCTGTTGGATGATTCTCCCGGGAGCCAGCCAGGTTCCAGCCTAGTGGCAATGGCCTCTGTTTGGCAAGAGGAAAGGCTCCTGGTTTCCCAGGGAGACTTCCATGGTCTGCAGAAGCTCTGAGTCTGTGCTTCCTGGTCCCCAGAGCAATGGGGTCCTTCCTATGTAGTCTGAAACCTGGCACCTACTCTCCTGTCTTCTAGGCCTCTTATCTAACATTAGTGATATGTTGACTCCTTCTGTCTGAATCAAGGAAATGAAACCTGTTTGTCCCTGTTTAATCAGAAGAAAAAAGAGACAGACAGGAAGGGAGCAGGACAGAGGCAAGGGAGAGGGAGACACAGAAATAGAGATGGAAAGAGAGTAAACTGAAGAAGACAGGAAATGCAAAGCTATCTGGAAGGATGGTGGGTTATAAGGGAAGCTTCACTGCTCACTGTCCTGAAGGGCCAGCCTTGGGCAGCCTCTGTCACACTGGCCTGCACTTATCTCTGCATCTGTTTCCCCTTGTGCAAGATTCAGAACTGCTTGCTCCAAAGAAACAATAAAAGCATTCATGTTTAGAAGAACTGCACAGGTGAGAGCTAGCTTATTGATACTGGGGTGTTTTCTCCATTGGGTTGGCTCTTACCTGAGATTGCTTGCTTTTCCCATGCAAAGTGGGCCATGACAACACGTTTCTGTGACATACTTATTCCTTCTGACACCCCTGCTCACACCTGAAGATGCTAACTTTACAGACAGGCCAAAGTTTAGGAAAATGTGCATTAGTTTGCTTAGTAATTAACTCCTTTTAGTGGATGAAAGCTCTTTTTTATTTTTTATTTTTGTTTTTTTTTTTAGCAGAGACTATAGCACAACTGAGCTTAAAGTCTTTATTTTTAAGTTTTTAAAATGGATCCCTTTCTTTCTGTATGCATGTACATATGGAGGTCAGAAGACAGTCTGTAAGAGTCAATTCTCTTCTTCCATCATGTGGCTCAGATTGACAGGCTGGTAGCAGTGTCTTTATCTGTTGAGGCATCTCTGGCCCTTTAAATCCCAGCTTTTCCCTCTCAGATGCTTGGCATTGCTTCTATGTGAGAGAAGAGATTCTAAGTAGATGTTTTGTAAGCAGTTCCTGGGTGACCACCATAGTCCCCAGGGATGGGTTAGAGTCCTTCAGGACACTTCTAAATGTCCTTTGTAAACTCTACCTTGAAAGAGGCAAAATGTATTTCCCTCTCACTCTGCCACTGGTAGACTACTTCATTAGTCTTTCCCCAAACAGATGCAGATTTTTACTTTTGAGACGTTTGGGGGGCTTGTGAAGTCACTCCAGTGATGACAGACAAGTCAAGCTGCAGAATTCATAGGACACAGTGTAGGCAGACTCCAGCCCTTAGTTTAAAAATTATTAAGTATCTGAAAACATTATTGATGGCTGAACTTTACACCAAACAAGGGACCCTGCTGGCAACTGTACAATCACAAGTCAAGAGGATGGTGTTGAAAATGTGCATGAAAATTGAAGTGTGTCACAAGGGTCCATGTATTCTGGCTGGCAGTGGGTCTGTCATTGGCCAGCCCAGCCAAGTAGCCATGTGCAGAGGTGAGCTTCTGGGACCCTGACAAGCACCACTCTTGCCATGGTGTCCATGGA